CATAAAGGCTGTTTCCTGATCACTTAGTGAATACCTGTGATGTGTCTGGCACCAAGTCAGTTGCTTAGTGAAAATGATTACAATACATGGTTCCTGGGACTTCCCTGCTGGTCCAGTGGCTAAGACTCCACACTCCCAGTGCAGGGGGCCCAGGTTCGACCCCTGCTCAGGGAACTGGGTCCCACATGCCACAATTAAAGATCCTGTGTGCTGCAACTAAGATCCAGCACAGCCAAATAAATAAGTATTTAAAACACATGGTTCCTGCACTTGAGCTGGGAAAACTGCAACAAACTGAGTCCCGTGTCATGATATGGATATGAAGTACTGCCCAGCATGGAGCCTGAGTTATAACTTGGAGGTTGAGGAGGGACTGCCTGGGCAATGGTGGGCTGCCGAGGATGATAAGGAAGCCAGAAATTACAGTAAGAGGAAGCATGTGATGTTTTTTGGAATTGCTGCAGGATTACAAGGAGGATGATCGGGAAACACGAGAGTGAGGCGTTAGGCGGAAGCCGTCATTCACATATTCATCAACAAATATTTATCTAACATTCTTTCCCATGTCTCCTATTACTTCCACCAGCCCCAGAGAGCTATGGCTGTGCCATGGCTTAGGTTAAGACGTTGAAAGTCACCAGTGAGCCAGTGAGCAGATGAAGATTCTAAGTGAAGTCACCATTGGTCTATTGCTTCCCTCTCCCCAACCTCCACTCTCAGGTCCCAGAACATGCCTTTGGATCCTTCAGTACTTTTCTTGGCTGCACCGTGAGGCATGCATGATCTTAGTTCCATGTCCAGGGATGGAGTACACGCTCCCTGCAGTGGAAGCACAGTCTTAACCACTGGACCACAAAAAGTCCCTCAGTATTTCTGTCTTGTGTTTCACCCAAAGATTAGACATGTCAACCTTTAAAAGAATTAGAATGAAATAAAATAAACAAATTTAAAGAGAAAGAAAGGGCTTCAACAGTTGCATAGAAACCTCTTTGCTGCTATAGATCTTTCTGACAAGAAGGCAACACAGCTCAAGGCACTCCCAGCCACATTCAGCGCATAGTTTTCTTGTTTTAAATGATTGAGTTCGATCATTACTCCCGTACTGGCAGTCTTTCTTTTGTGTATGTGAGTTTCTTCCTATTGAATAAGCCTCTCTTTTGGAAGCATTCTTATGGCAACAACTGTAATTACAAATCCACGACTGAGCTAGAACATGCCATGATGTGACAGCTTCTGTGACAGGAAGGGTGGAGAAAGAATGAAAGCTTATAATTTTCTTTGAGGTGTCTTGAAGGCTCACAGTAGCCCTGCCCTGGTCATGTAAACAGGCAGTGACCCAGAGATTCACAGGAGAATAGGTCAGACAGACATGCAAAGTCCCTGCTCCATGAACCACAATTCAACAAGCAAGAGCTGAATTCTTGATGGCGTCTTTAAAAGGAATCATTTAGAACAACAGTTTCCAGTATTTTGGAATAGGAGGGCCTCTTTTTCCTGTCAAAACTTTTCATTCCTTCTATGAGTTGTGTTGTTCTTTTTGAATACATCGTTTGAAGAAAGGCCTATATGATCACTAGCAGCTGCATCTTTGCTATGACTTTGAAATAAATTTCTTTGCCTCATGGATCACAATAGCATTTATGCTATTGGAAAATTTCATTAAAAAATATGAATTCTTCGGTTGATCAACAACGCTTGGACCCTGAGGAACTGGATGATATTTGCAGTGGCCCAGAAACCTATGACTTCTTCCTCTCCTCACTGTCCCTACTTGAAGGTCACAGACTTGGAATCCATTGTGTTCCTTATATCCATTCATTTGGTTAATCGCTTCTTTTCATTAAAAAAAAAAAAAAGTGCCAGGGCTGACTATATTCTGAGCAGCTCGGAGGTCACAGATATAAAGTCAGTATGTGGTACCTGCCATCAGGGAAATTGAAGTCCAGTTGGGGAGACAGATGTGAACATCTGTCCCAGTAAGACTCTATGGTGGGCACCAAGGAGGGTGGTCTGTTCCATCCATCAAGGGAGAGGAGTTGGAAAAGCTTTCCTGTGGGAGGAGTATCAACCACCTATCAACCAGCTATGGCCACAGTAGTGTTGCAGCTCATGGCTCAAAGACATAGTCATTTAAAACAATCGCCCTCAGGCTCACGGTCTACCAGACAATGGCCAACCCACTGGGCTGAACTTGACTGCAAGCTCTGGGGTCCAGCTCTAGGCTGCTGACTGGGTTTGCATCCACTCCACATGGCTCTTCCCTTCCTTAGATCTGAATCTGTTCTCAGAGTGGGTCTCTAAAGAGCAAGAGATCTCAGCAGTGCAAAAATAATAAGTCTCACCTCTTGCTGCGTTCACTAAAGTGCCGGTGGCCAAAGCAAGTAAGGTGGCCACGTCCAGCGTCAAGGGACTGGGCAGTACATGCCACCTTTCCACAGTGTCGGTGTGTATGCGCTACAGGGGAATAAAGAGACTGGGGCTCCAAACTCAAATTACCGTAAGAGAAGACCTTGGCTCTACATCCTGAGAGATGAGCTCAGGTAAACCTAAACATCCAAAACAGAGATCGAGAGAGATCAAGCAACACTCATGCCCAGTATCTGACCTCCAAGAAAAGTCCTGAGGGTAGAAGTCAGACATGTTCTGGGGGATCCATGATTAGCATCTGTCACGGAATAGTCCGGGGCCACTAGTACATGGTGATGAGCACAGCCTTGTGGCTGCCAGAGCTATATCCAGCTGCTGCTGCTAAGTCGCTTCAGTCATGTCCGACTCTGTGTGACCCTAGAGATGGCACCCCACCAGGCTCCCCCGGCCCTGGGATTCTCCAGGCAAGAACACTGGAGTGGGTTGCCATTTCCTTCTCCAAAGCATGAAAGTGAAAAGTGAAAGTGAAGTTGCTCAGTAGTGTCTGACTCTTACCGACCCCATGGACTGTAGCCCACCAGGCCCCTCTGTCCATGGGATTTTCCAGGCAAGAGTACTGGAGTGGGTTGCCATTGCCTTCTCTTTATCCAGCTAGAAGAGGTTTAATGAAAAGCCTCCTATGGCTGCATCTCAGCCCAGATCAACCATGAGGGGCCATTTGAACCCAGTGTCTCCAGTTTGACGGACAGTGACTCTTAAAAGAGGAACAGTAGGGCTCACATTCTGTGCTCCAACCCTGTGCTGCAAGGATTGGATTAGTTTCCTGTTTCTACAGTGGCTGTTGTTCAGTCACTCAGTCATGTCCAGCTCTTTGCGACCCCATGGACTGCAGCACATCAGGCTTCCCTGTCCTTCTACATCTCCTGGAGATAGCTCAAACTCATGTCCATTGAGTCAGTGATGCCATCCAACCACCTTGTCGTCTGTTGTCCCCTTTGCCTCTTGCCCTCAGTCTTTCCCCGCATCATGGTCTTTTCTAATTAGTCAATTCTTCGCATCAGGTGGCCAAACTATTGGACCTTCAGCTTCAGCATCAGTCCTTCCAATGAATATTCAGGACTGATTTCCTTTATGATTGACTGGTTTATCTCCTTGCAGTCAAAGGGACTCTCCAAGAGTCTTCTCCAACACCACAGTTCAAAAGTATCAATTCTTCAGTGCTCAGCTTTCTTTATGGTCCAACTCTCACATCCTTACATGACTACTGGAAAAACCATAGCTTTGACTAGATGGACCTTTGTTGGCAAAATAATGTCTCTGCTTTCTAATATGCTGTCTATGTTGGTCATAGCTTTTCTTCCAAGGAGCAAGTGTCATTTAATTTCATGCATGACTGTCATCACCATCTGCAGTGATTTTGGAGCCCAAGAAAATAAAATCTGTCAGTTTTGCCATGAAAAATAAAATCTGACCAGATGCCATTAGTTTTTTGAATGTTGAGTTTTAAGCCAGCTTTTTCACTCTCCTCTTTCACTTTCATCAAGAGGCTCTTTGGTTCCTCTTCACTTTCTGCCATAAGGGTAGTATCATCTGCATATCTGAGGTTATTGATATTTCTCCTGGCNCATCGCCTCCACTATCTTTGTTCATGGTGATGCTTCCTAAGGCCCACTTGACTTCACATTCCAGGATGTCTGGCTCTAAGTGAGTGATCATACCATCGTGGTTATCTAGGTCATTATGATCTTTTTTGTACAGTTCTTCTGCGTATTCTTGCCACCTCTTCTTATCTTCTTCTTATCTTCTTATCTTCTGTTAGGTCCATACCATTTCTGTCCTTTATTGAGTCCATCTTTGCATGAAAGAGAGGGGGATTCTTTCATGTTGCAAGAGGGACAATTTCCTCCCATCCTTCTTGAATTCTCTTGTATAATCTAATCACTAAATTGACCCAAGACAGAATAACAGGAGGAAAAGAAACATACAATTCATATGTATGGAGGTCTTATAGAAACAGACCTAAGAAGTAACCAAGGCAGTCAGCTTTTAGATTCTTTAGACAAAGAAACAACACATTTGTGAGGAATGGAGGGGATGAAGAAACTGAGATTTGGGTGATTAATTAGTGACGAATCTAAACGGAATTGGGCTTGGGTGATAAATTAGTAAAGAAGAAACAAGCTTGTTTCCAGAGCCTTCTCGGCAACTTTCACATGGGAGACCTATTTCCTGTTTTCAGGGAGATGGAAGGGTCAGAGTGTCCTTGTATCAGCTGTTTCTTATGTAACTTTCATTCAAACTAATCAATGTGCCTCTTTGGCATATTTGGGGCCAGATTGCCTTGGGCCCCAACACCACTGTCACCAAATTACTACAAACTTAAATCGGCTTTAAAGCAGCACACATCTGACTTTCCTGGTGGTCCGGTGGTTAAGAAGCCGCCTGCCCATGCAGGAGACAAGGATGTGATCCCTGGTCTGGGAAGATCCCATGTGCCACAGGCTAACAGAGCCTGTGTACCACAAGAGAAGCCACTGAAAGCCCACGCTCAGCAACCAAGACCCAGTGCAGCCAAAAATAAATACATACATAAATACTTTTAAAAAGCTTTAGAAAAGCACATATTTATCTTTATACATTTATACATTTTACACATTTATACATTTTACAGTGGAGGTGAGAAGTCTAAAACGGGCTAATGAGCCAACATGGAGCTGCCGTCAGGGCCGCGTTCCTTCTGGAATCTCCAGGAGAGGCTGCTTCCTCACCTTAGCAGCTTCTGAAGGCCATCCGTTTTCCTGGGGGTGTGCTTCCTCTGTCTCCAAAGCCAGCAGAACAGCACCTTCAAAACCTTCTCTGACTCTGAACTTCCGTTTCCCTTTTCCCTTGTGATTATATTGAACGAACTAGAGAGTCTAAGATAAGATCCATATCTTAAGAAGAGCTGGGGCTTCCCTGGTGATCCAATGACTAAGACTCCGAGCTCCTAATGCAGGGGGCTTGGGTTCGATCTTTGGTCAGGGAAGTAGCTCCAACATGCCACACCTAAAGATCCCGCATGCCACAACTAAGACCCGACGCAGTCAAATAGTAAATAATTATGTTCCAGGGAAAAAATGTAAACAGTTGGTTAGCAATCTTCATCCCACAGGGACATGGACATCCTTGACAGACTATTATTCTGCCTAGTGCAGCTCCTACTGGTGGTTATGTGTGACAGACCAAGACTTTCATACTTTTATGATCTCACTTTTGAATCAGGAGAATAATAAGCAGAGAATTACTTTATAAGGGAATACATCCAAACCCAGACAGTTACATGGGCAACACAGTCTAGTACAATGGTTACTTACTGCTTCTTCAACCACCTCAGAGCACTTCTGATGTGTCCAGTCAGCCCTTGTCTGTTGCAATCATCTGTTAACTTGTCTGTCTCATCACCACTAAGCAGGCGTGGAGTTAAAAATAACTGTGCAGTAGCTGGAGAAGGGTGAGCAAAAATCACATTAGACACTCACTGTGTACATCATTCGTCAGGGAGGCTATATGTGACTTGTACTTAAAGAACAGTCACCTTGGTACCAAGGTCATACAGCCAACAGAGCAGAACAGGACTTGACCTCACACTAAGATCTGCCCGACATCAAAGCCTTTTTTTTTTTTTTTTTTTTTTTTTCCTATGGGTACAGGAAGGGCGGGGACACAGATTTTGTTTTCAAAAGGCATTAGCTGTTTCTTTTTTTTCTATTATCCCTACTAAGTTTCTGGAGTATTCTAGTTTTAAGATATAACTTTGAGAATCATGTGATGAATATATTTGTCCAAACCCATCAAATGCACAAAACCAAAAGTGAACTGTAAACTTTGGGTGATATTTATATTATTATTTAGAAATATTTGTATAATATTCTAAATCTTACATGGTCATTTTAGCAATCTTCACAGTGTCTTTACCAACATGTGCTGATTCACAAGAAACAACTTTTCTTCTGTTCCAGTTTTATCCTGAGATTGCAGCAATTCAGTCCATCTTCAGGCTCCACTTCTAATTCTAGCTCTCCTACTTTTCCCACCACATTTGCAGTTACTTCCCCCACTGAAGTCTTGAACCGTTCAGTCACCTATGGGTGCTACCAAAAGGTGAATGTTAGGTCCGGCTGCTCACCCGTCAAAAGCCAACAAAGAGGCCGGGTTGGTGGAAAGGAAAGTTTGCTTTATTTCAGATGCTGGCAACTAGGGGAAGAGGGTGGTAGACATCTGTCCACAGGCCAGCTTCGCCCCTGCCCCTGACAAGCAGAGGGTGGGAGCTTTTATAGACAGAGTATTGTGGGGGGGTTACATGCAGAAACAGCACAGTCATCTCTAACAGTCATCTTCAAATTGGTCATCAGTGGTCTGACCAGCATCACCTTGGTTGATTTAGGTACAGTTAACCTTCAGTTCCGGGGTGCACTTGTTCCCATTTCTTTGTGGTCAGTTCTCAGAACTGTGGCAGCTGAAGTCCTGGGTACAGTTTGGCCATCATGCAGTTAACTTCTCCAGCTGGTGTTCTCTTATCTACAGACAGCTCACAGATACGGCTCAGAATATTATCCACAGCCCTTGAGAAAGAACTAAAGGTCCTTGACTATGCTTAATGACTGCATTACTATTATTTAGTCTCCTTTGGCTGTTTTCCTTTGTTTCAACATTTCTCACTTCTCAGATAAAACGTACTCTTTAACTAAAGTTGCTGCTGCTACTGCTGCTGCTAAGTCGCTTCAGTCGTGTCCGACTCTGTGCGACCCCATAGATGGCAGCCCACCAGGCTCTGACATCCCTGAGATTCTCCAGGCAAGAACACTGGAGTGGGTTGCCATTTCCTTCTCCAATGCATGAAAGTGAAAAGTGAAAGTGAAGTCGCTCAGTCGTGTCCGACTCTTTGCGACCCCATGGACTGCAGCCCACCAGGCTCCTCCGTCCAGGGGACTTTCCAGGCAAGAGTACTGGAGTGGGGTGCCATTTATCCACAGACAAAGGCATGCAGAGGATATGGTGAGGGGGCAATGACCATAGCATCCTCCTCCATTTCTGAGGAATCAGCTTCTTCCAAGCTCCTGGTAACCTTGATATTTTGACCTCTTGTCATGAATCACAAATGTTCTTCATGCCATCCAGGATGGTGAATCCTTTCGAGGCAACTGATTTGCTCAGATCCATCAGAGGAATCACTTTCTATGCTATCTATAGCCTTATGAAGCATATTTCTTAAATCATAAGACGGGAAAGTTGAAATTATCCCTTGATCCGTGGGCTGCCGAGTGGATGTCCTGTTAACAAGCATGAAAACAGCATGAGCCTCCTTGCACAGCACCATCGGAGCTCTCTGATGACCACGTGCGTTCTCAGTGAGCAGTAACATTTTGAATAAAAAGCTTTTTTTTTTCCTGAAACCACATTGTAAACAAGATGTGGTATCACCCAGGTTTTGTTGTTCCATTTATAGAGCACAGCACATAATTCTTCTTTCAATTTTTCAAAATCATGCGTTTTATTTTGGGCAGGGCTGGGTCTTTGTCACTGCAAGGACTTTTCTCTAGCTGGGTGCGCAGGCTTCTTATCGCAGTGGCTCCTCTTGCTGCGGAGCAGGGCCTCCGGGGTGTGGGGGCGTCTGTGGTTGCTGCTCCCTTGCTCTGGAACACAGGCTCCGCGTGTGGGATCCTCCAAGACCAGGGATCAAACCCATGTCTCCTGGATTGGCAGGCGGATACTTTACCTCTGGGCCATCAGGGAAGCCGATTTAGCATAAAGGTCCTAGGATTTGGGGAATGGTGAGTGAGCACTGGCTTCAACTTCAAGTCGTTAGCTGCCTTAGCCCCTAACAAGGGAGGCAGCCTGCCCTTTGAAGTTTTGAAGCCGGACATTAACTTCTCTCCATCTATGAAAGTTCTTCTAGTAATGGCTGTGTTGCCCATATGGAAAATCCGTTTAGTGTAGCCACCTTCATGAGTTATCTTAGCTAAATCTTCTGGATTACCTGGTACAGCTTCTACATTAGCACTGGCTGCTTCACCTGCACTTTTATGTTAAGGAGGTGGTTTCTTTCCCTAAAAGTCATGAACCAAACTCCGCCAGCTTCAGACTTTTCTTCTGCAGCTTCCTCTCCTCTCTTAACCTTCATAGAATTGAAGGGAGTTAGGGCTTAAGGGCATGTTGTGGCTGGTTTGACTTTGTACCCAGAGATTAACATTTTCTCCATATCAGCAATAAGGTTATCTCACTTTCTTATCATTCATGTGTTCACTGGAGCAGCACTTTTATTTCCTTCAAGAATTTTTCCTTTGCATTCATAACTTAGCTAACAGTTTGGCGCAAGAGGCCTAGCTTTTAGCCTAACTTGGCTTTCAACACGCCTTCCTCACTAAGCTTAATTACTTCTAGTTTTTGATTTAAAGTGAGAGACATGCAACTCTTCCTTTTGTTCAAACACTTGGAGGCCATTGTAGATTTATTAACTGATGTAATTTCAATATTGTTGTGTCTCAGGGAACAGGAGGGCCCTAGGAGAGAGAAGGGGGAGCAGCTAGGCAGTGGAACAGTCAGAACACATAGGACATTCATTGTTTAAGTTTGCCTTCTTACATGCGCACGATTCATAGAACTCCAAAACAATCACAGTAACAACATAAAAGACCACTGATCACAGATCACTTTAACACACAATAATAACAAAAAAAGTTTGAAATATTGTGAAAATGACCGAAAGGTGACAGAAAGATGAACTGAGCAAATGTTGTTGAAAAACTGGCTCTGACAGACTTGTGTGAGGGATTACTGCAAACCTTCAATCTGTAAAAAATGCAGTATCTGTAAAGCACAATAAAATGCATTAAATGAGGTCTGCCTATAAGTGATAATGTACAAGAAAGATTCAGTTGACAGTTTTTTTAATCTCAGTGTTTTGATTTCAAGATTTATCCATGTTAATATGTGGATAGAAACATTTATTTTAACTGCTATATTGTATTTCATTGTATGACTATAATGTTTATTTTCCCCTAGGAACATTTCCCCTAATGTTTATTTTCTTCTTTAAATGCATCTCCTCATGCCCGTGGGGTTCAGTTACTAATGGCACAGTTCCTCAAACTGAGAACTGCAGACTCTTAGCATTTCATGGCCAGGAACTGCTTAAGTGCAGAATAAGCATTTAGAATCTTCAAAAGTTATTCAACTGAGACTTTTACATCTACGGAATCTAATAATAAAAAAATTATTCAGGCTTATATTTTGTAGGTCTGTTGTTATATTTCATTTGTTTTATGAATTTTATTTATTTATTTTTAAATTTATTTGTTTTAATTGGAGGCTAATTACAATATTGTGGTGGTTTTTGCCATACACTGACATGAATCAGCCATGGGTGTACATGTGTCCCCCATCCTGAACCCCCCTCCCACCTCCCTCCCCGTCCTATCCCTCTGGGTCATCCCAGTGCACCAGCCCTGAGCACCCTGTCTCATGCATCAAACCTGGACTGGCGATCTGTTTCACACATGATAATATACATGTTTCAATGCTATTTTCTCTCAAATCATCCCATCCTTGCCTTCTCTCACGTTTTATGAATTTTTTTGTTTTATTGTTTTAAATATGTTGATCCTCAATAGGTTGGAAATTCAAAAGGTAAACACTGGATTCTCATGATAGCATTTCAGAATTTCCGCAGTTTCCATCCAGAGGGCTTCCCAGGTGGCACAGTGGTAAAAAAAGAAAAAAAGAAAAAAAAAACCCACCTGCCAATGCTGGAGATGCAAGAGATGTGGGTTCGGTCTCTGGGTTAGAAAGATCCCCTGGAGGAGGAAAGGAAACCCACTCCAGTATTCTTGCCTGCAAAGTCCATGAAGAGAGGAACCTGGTGGGTTCCAGCCCATGGGGTCACACAGAGTGGTACACAGCTGAGCACACACACACACACATCCCACCCGGAAGAGGTATTTCTGAGTGAGGAGTGGGTGCATCTTTAGTGCTTTAGGCATTTACACTGCAGCGTGGTCAGCCTTACATGCAATGCATGAGAGTTTCCTTTTCCCCACAGCTGGACTGGGTGTGTGCTTCATCACTCAGGCGCACCTGACTCTTTGTGATTCTTTGGACGGTAAGCTGCCAGTCTCCTCCATCCACGGGATTTTCCAAGCAAGAATACTGGGTTGCCATTTTCTCCTCCAGGGCATCTTCCTGACCCAGGGATTGAACCCACGTCTCCTCTGTCTCCTGCACTGCAGGCGGATTCTCTACCCACTGAGCCATCGGGGAAGCCCACGGTTGCATTATCAAACTTTAAAATCTTTCCTGATAGAATTGATACCTGTGAATAGTATTGCACCTTAATTAACACTTCAAATCTGTCTATTAGGTTGCCATTTGTGACTTGAAGGAGGGAGGCTTTCTCAGTTGGCCACTGTGGGGGAAATCTTTGCTTAACCAGCTCTAGGAGGCAAAGCATTCTAACGGGCAGAACTGGTCTGGATGAGGAAGAGCCTAAGCGTGGCTGGCTGCGACTTGATGAGAAACAGGAGTGCTGCTTGCAGCAAATCAGGGCTCGGGCAGAGGCTCTCTTGTATGTGCATCTTACCTGGTATTCTGGGTTTGGGACAATCATTCAGTCACCACCACTAATACACTTCAGTGGAGCCGTTTCCACTAAGAATTCTGTATCTGGCATCCTGAGCTGATCATCCTGTGATTTTTTCTGGCACTAATAAGATGAAGACACAGGTGGCACTCAGAGGGTCCGAGGTGGAGACACAGGGGCAGGAGGGGGCCACCGGCCAAGAAATAGGATGTCACCAGTCTCTCCCCTAGTGAAGTGAAGTGAGGCTTAGTCACTGAGTCATGTCTGACTCTTTGTGACCCCATGGACTGTAGCCCACCAGGCTCCTCTGTCCATGGGATTCTCCAGGCAAGAATACTGGAGAGGGTAGCCATTCCCTTCTCCAGGGGAACTTCCCGACCCAAGGATCAAACCCAGGTCTCCTGCATTGCAGGCAGATTCTTTACCATCTGAGCCACCAGGGACGCTTCCCCGCTAACTAGTAGTTTATACAAATGGAACCTAAGAGAGTCAATGTGTCATCTGATACATCAGAAACCCACAGGATTTTTTTAAGAACTGTGTCATGGGATGAGGCTTTGGAAGTGAAGAGAGGAGTGGGTGTAAGCACATTTTGCTTGTGAGGGGTGTGAGTCCTTGAAGCCCGTGAGAGGTTTCCCCTTGAGTGCACTGTCATAGCTGGAGCCCAAACACGCCCCGGTCAGCCTGCCTCCTGGACTTCAGGCCCTCGGGAGCCAGTGTCCTCCTGCACTAAACCTGGGACTTGCTCTCACGTTGAGAACGCAGCAGAGGTAACATCACGGCAGTTCTGCACACTAACCTAAACAAGGCCAAGCAGCCTCCTCTCTGTACTTTGGGGATCCCCGAGCTGCCATGTGAGAATTTCAGATGCTCCACTGGGGCAATCACATGGGAAGGCCAGGCAGGGACGGAAAAGCCCTGGACCATGAGTAAAAAAGTGTGAAGCCCAGCGGCCCAGCTGTCCCTCAAGGCATCAGTGAATGAAGCTGTCACAGTCCCCTTCCAACTGCAGCCCCAGGAGGGGCCCCAGGGAGACCAGCAGAGCTGTCCACTGAGCCCAGCCATCTGTGGGGTCATCAGCAGCGACTGACTTGCTGATTTCAGCCATTACTTACTGGAGTGGTAACAAAGCAACGACTTTATAACATGAATCCTCTTCATGAACGTGCTCAGTTGCTCCTTTATCAGAGGTTCTTACATTTCTCCCCACCAGGTTTTGTAGTTTTCTGTGTCAAGATCTTGCAGAGTATTTTTTGTTTGGTTCTTAGATGTATGCTTTTTGTGTTCTGTTGATAAATATCAATAGTAATTAGTTATGTACAGAAAAAAACTACATGATTTTATTGACCATCTGCACAGTGAGCTTGTTCAATTCTCCTACTAATTCTTAATAGTTTATCTGCAGATATCTTTGCTTTTTCTGCACATGAAATTATNTCCTTCCAATGAACACCCAGGACTGATCTCCTTTAGGATGGACTGGTTGGATCTCCTTGCAGTCCAAGGGACTGTCAAGAGTCTTCTCCAAAGTGTGTATAAGACTGATGTTATGACTTTTAAAAATATTTGGTAGAACTCATTAGTGAAGCATCTAGGGTAGGAAAGAGTTTAATGACAGAGACTCAATTCCTTTGATCCAGATTTTAAAATTTTAATTTACTTGTTTGTTTGGCTGTGTCGAGTCTTCGTTGCAGCACACAGGAACTCTGCTGCCTCATACGGGATCTTTCTTTTTGGCACGGGAACTTTCCACTGAGGCCCGCGGCCTCTGCGGTGAGTGGACTCAGGGTTTGAGGCTCTCAGACTTAGTTTCTCCTTGGCATGTAGGATCTTAGCTCCCCCGCCAGATATCGAACCCATGTCCCCTGCTGCAAGGAGGATTCTTAACCACTGGACCAGCACGGAAGTCCCAGATCTAGATTTTAATCCTATTTCTTACTGTGTCCATTTAGGTACACTGGGGTTTTATCCATATGTAAATTTTCAAAATTATTGGTGTAAAATTATTCACATGTACATCCTATGACCTTTTCCACGACTCTGTTCATCCCTGACATTATTTACACATTTCCTCCACCTCTTTTCTTGATCAGTCTGGCCAAGTGAAGTGAAAGTTACTAGTCGTGTCCGACTCTTTTTGATTCCATGAACTATACAGTCCACGGAATTCTCCAGGCCAGAATACTGGAATGGGTAGCTTTTTCCTTCTCCAGGGGATCTTCCCAAGCCAGGGATCCAACCCAGATCTCTGGCATTGCAGGCAGATTCTTTACCGTCTGAGTTCCCAGGATCAGACTGGCCAAGTGTTTGTCAATTTTTCCTTTTTTTTTAAGATAGAATTTTTAGATCAAATAAACCTCATGGTAAGTTTGTTGTCTGTTTCATACTTTGTGGTTTATTACTTACCTTCTCCACTTCTTTGAGTTTTCTGTTGTATTTCTACTTCTTGAAATGGATACTTGGATCATTCAGTTTTGCTACTTCTCTAGTAAATGCATTTAAGCCTATAAATTCCCCTTAGAGCATAGCTTTGAATGCAGCCTACAAATTTTGGTATCTCATATTTTCAATATGTTCAATTAAAAATATATTCAAATTCCTATGGTGATTTTTCATTTGATCCACTGGATTATTTAGCAATATGGTATTAATTTCTAAAATTCTGGGATTTTCATGTTGGTATATTTTTGTATCGGTATATTTATTACCAGCTTCATTGCATTATGGCCTGAGAACCATCTCTGCACTATTTGCTTTTGATATTTGCTAAGACTTCCTTTATGGCCATATATATGGTCGAATTTTTGATAATGTTCTACATGTACTTGAAAAAATGTGCAGTCTGCAGTTGTTGAGTTCTTTTTACTTTTTAATATGTATACATCAGTTATGTCAATTTGTTAATCATGTTGTTTAAATCCTCACCTTTACTAATTTTTGTCTGCTCATTCTATTTGTATCCTTCAGTGAAGATTAACGTGTAGAGTACTATACAGACTTATCTAGTATCCACAATTAAGGTCCTAGTTAAGTCTCTTTTTTTCCCTCCCAAAGCTTAACTTTTGAAGGGATGGTTAGAAATCATATGCATGTGATTTGCACAATTATTTTCCTGCCTGATACATTTTATAGACATGATGGAATAGCCTGGCTGTCAAGTGAAGACATTTAACCGGACCAAGTAAAACAAAACCTGAAATGCAACATAGTTGCATCAGAAAGCTGTTCAATTCCTGGTTTGTGTTCTAACTTGTTCCGAAAGGCATCACTGGATGGACTGGATGGGCAGGAGGGGGACACTGAGGCAACATCGTCGCTGAGAAAAGTCACGTGACAAGTGCTGATGGTACAAATCCTAATATTCTGTGTGCTGCACTGAAGCTAAGATGAATTTAAGTCTGGGGACATGGGACCATGCTGGGATGTTCCTCCCAAGGGGTGTTTCTATGTCTAAGCTGAATGTTTCCACCATCTCTTTTCGGTCGCTCTACAAAGGGTTAATGAACGTAACTCCATGTAACTTGATTAATGTCTCAGAAATATATCTTATTCCAGAATTCATAGAAGACCCTGACTTCCTATCAAAAGGCCTTCAAAAAACAAGGTAAAGAACATAAAATCATATCTTACATATAAAAACTGAAATTTTAATTTTGATATTGTATTCAATAATGAATGAATCTTGGTCAATGAATGTTTATTTTAAAAGAATTCTTATGCACCTCAGACGTCCTACTAATGGTAGGACATTACAGTTCTTTAAAATATGTAATTAATGCAAATGAATGTGTAAATGTGAATGCTGCTCACTTAGTACACAGAGGGATCAAATATTTTAATCTTACTCTATTCTCAGTAATATTTTGTATTGCACCATCATGGACAAATCTGTTCCCATTTTGGACTAAGTTTTCAAATTATTGTAAAACAAGAGAAACAAACTATTTACCTTATGTGATTATTAGGAAAATAAGGTGAAATCAAGTAAACAATAGTTTCAAAGTATAAGGAATATGTAGTCATCAATCAGTAATATCATATGAAAGAGAAGACAGTAAAATTCCAAACAGTTCTTTTCTTTTAGGACTGTCATATAAATGCATATATACTTCTGTATGTATATATATTCTTGTTGCTAACTTGAAGCAGAACTGTAGAGATCTGTATGTAACAAAAGTGGGTGGGAGTTTTACAATGAAAGCTAGAAATTTTTCTATTAACGTATCAAGCACTTTGTTGCGAAAACCACAATAGCAAATTTTATATTTATTATACCAGAACATAATTAGTGGTTATCCAAGTGAACACACACTGAAATGTACGAATAACAGGTGCAAGGGCTCCTAGAGTCATTGATGGCAGCAGCTCTGAGGATTTGGAGCAAGGGGCCCCAACACCCGAGACAGCCGGAGGAGCGGGTGTTGCAGGTGACTGTGTGGCTCGCGTGGGCGCTCAGCATTATTTGATGTGGGAGATGACAGCTTGTCTAAAGACAGGGCTGAGCAGGACAGCTGGCTGGGGGATTAGCCGCATGTGAGAGGCTGGGAATTGGAGAATAGAAGCGGTAGGATCAGAGCGTCAGCAGGATCAGCTCTGGCACAGCTGGGGTCTGGGTTCTGGAATCCATCTGCTGTGGTTTCTCACTAGGGTTCCCTCAGCTGGTTGGACTGCAGACTGTCTTCCTGCCCTGGCTCTTATAACTGGTTGCTTTTCTTGGTTTAGGGTCAGCACATTGCTGCTGCTTCTCCCCTCCGCCCCGTTTTGGCTGCACGCAGCTGCTGGGATCTTAGTTCCCAGATGGGATCGAACCTGAGCTTCCTGCACTAGAAAGGAGAGTCTTGATCATCGGATGGCCAGGGAAGTCCCTCATTGTTGCTTCTTTATAGAAGATGCCTCTCCAGCTCTATTTCTCTGCAGCCTTTATCACTATCTGCAACTATTTTACTTAATCACTTGTTTTCTGTTCATTGTGTGCTTCCTATCTGAAGATAAGCTTTATAAGAGGATCAACTGTATCTTCAGCAGTTTCTGTGTCATTTTAGTAAACATACATCAGGTAACTGGCTGGCTGGACAAACAAATAAATACATTTATCTCCAAGGTCCCCTTCAGCTGTATGATTTTCTTGCTATATATATACACACAACTGAGAATCACTTTGTTGTACACCTGAAACTAGCACAACATGGTAAATAAACTATACTTCAACAACAAAAAAAGAAGTCTTCATCAGGACAAATATAGGTAAATCATAAACAGTCTGTAGTGAGTAGTAGAATAGTGAAGACCAAGATCTTACCAAGCAAAGGGAAAAGTCAGATGACACAAGAGTACAATGGAAAGATTCATGTTATAATTCTCAACAGCAACACTGTATGTCAGAAGACAGTATACTCCCATCTTCAGTGGGCTGAGATAATATAGCCACCAACCTAAAACCCTGTGCCCAACTAAACTACCATTAAAATAGTAATAATGATGATGATGATGATGATGATGATGATGATGATGATGATAGTGTACTCCTAACACACCCTCAGAGAAGGCAATGGCACCCCACTCCAGTACTCTTGCCTGGAAAATCCCATGGATGGAGGAGCCTGGTAGGCTGCAGTCCATGGGGTCACGAAGAGTCAGACACGACTGAGCAACTTACTTCACTTTCACTCTTCACTTTCATGCATTGAAGAAGGAAGCGGCAACCGACTCCAGTGTTCTTGCCTGGAGAATCTCAGGGACGGTGGAGCCTGGTGGGCTGCCGTCTATGGGGTCGCACAGAGTCGGACAGGACTGCAGCGACTTAGCAGCAGCAGCAGAAGCAACAGGCCCTACTACTTCAGGAAGAAAAAATTTGAACCCAGAAGGAAGGAGTGAGATGCATAAAGGTGTAGTAAGCAAAGTTACTAAATATTTAGAAAATTCTAAATAGGTCTTGATTGTATAAACCAACATAATTACGATGATTGATTTGTACTTATAAAAATATGATGGAGTTCCAACAAGACTGTTGGCTGAGAGTGTTCTAAAGTCTGTCGGGAGGCAGAGACATGTTAACTTCAGACTTTGAAAGTCACCTATGCGTGATCAGACTGTAACTATCGCCATCAATAGAAATGTAGAGTTTTCAAACATGTGCTCTCAAAAAGCCTGTGGTCAAGCTCAGCTGACAAGGTGTGTCACAGCTCTAGAGCTGTCCACCTGTTTTGTGAAAGGGCTCCTCCTCCAGCAGACCCAGGAGTTACTTCCTGTCTGCTCTTGGTCCTGTACTGTGACTTTAGAGCAAATTGTCGTGGCCTGTACTGGGGGGCCATTTTCTGTGCCCTCCTCACCACTGCATCCCAGGGCCTGCAGGCACTTATGTTTGTAGAATGAATGGATGCAACTTAGTTGAGGCCACACAGCTGCCAAGGATGAGAACCTAGATCTTTGCAGGCTCAGGCTTGCTTTGAAAAATCTGTTGCATCTGAAAAATGTTGTATCCCATGAAAACAGGAGCTGCTGGGTTAAAGAAAGAAGAAATCCCTCTGAGATAAAAAAATCAAATTTGACCAGAGAAATTCAAGTGGGTGCTGTCATCAATCTTCTGTCAGTAACTTTGCAGGTGACACTGGTGATGGAGCAGAGTTCTAAAACAGGCTCTCAGAGCAACTTGAGTCTTCCAGGAAGAACTTGACTGTATCCATCCCAGGGCAGCCTCCACAGGCACATGATCCCAGGGAATAGAGCGCCTCCCTGCCCACCAACTTGTTACCACCAGGAATGAAGTTGTTGTTCAGTCGCTAAGTCATGTCCAACTCTGCGAGCCCATGCACTGCAGCACACCAGGCTTCCATGACCTTCAGCATCTCCCAGAGTTTACGCAAACTCATGTCCTTTGAGTCATCCAACCATCTCATCCTCTGTCGTCCCCTACTCCTCCTGCCTTCTATCTTTCTCAGCATTAGGATCTTTTCCAATGAGCTGACTCTTCGCATCAGGTGGCCAAAGTATTGGAGCTTCAACTTCAGCATCAGTCCTTCCAATGAATATTCAGGGTTGATTTCCTTTAGGATGGACTGGTTTGATCTCCTTGGAGTCCAAGGGACTCTCAAGAGTCTTTTCTAACACCACAGTTCAAAAGCATCAATTCTTCAGCGCTCAGCCTTCTTTCTGATCCAACTCTCACATCCATACATGACTACTGGAAAAACCACAGCTATGACTATATGGACCTTTGACTATATGGACCAGGAATGAAGACCCCTTGTTAAATGCAATGCACCTCCATGCGTACTGGTGATCAGCTGAAACGAGGGCAGGTGGGAGGGCTGGGAGCCAGCAGCAAATTTGCTCCTGGAAGTTTCTGCACAGAATATGCCAGGAAAGAAAGGAACAGAGGGAAGGGAGGAAAGCGGGTGAGAAACTAAAAGGTGATGGAAGACGCCAAGAACTTGTTCCACAGTCCTACCTGGGGCAACCTCAGTGCAGATCTTCAACCTCAACACCCACAGCTCCACCTGGGAAACACACCTGGCCTTCCAGTCTCACCACAAGATTAAAGTCTGGGCAGAAAATGAGGGGTCTTTGGAGATGCTCTGAAGGGCAGCAGACAGCTGCATTACAAGGAGTCTCTCGGACTCATGGCTCTGTTATCCACGTGGGGTTTTCAGACTGTTTCTTACCAGTCAAGCAATAAGGAAGGAGACAGAGAAGGAACCTGCCCCCGAAGTCAGCGCCTTTCAGGAGGAGGATGGTCAGGACTGGCAGTCAAGGTGTTACTGACCAGGGTTCTCAGCCTCATTCATCAACAGAAATTGACTAGAGGTCAGACAGGAAATTCGGGCAAGGCTTTCACTGGGGTCCTGTGGCGGCAGGGGGCGGGGGCGGAGAACAAGCAACATGTTCCTGTGCTTGCTTCCTGAAGGGGGACAAGCTTGTTCCTTATATGGGCTGAGGGGAGGGGTGTGTCCAGGGGTCTCGCCAGAGGGGTGGCTTAGGTGGTTTGCCCACTCCTTAGGTGGTGGAGTATGCAGGGGGCATGCGCAGTACCCTGCTTTTGCTCCCCACCCCCCCGTTTTTGCTCCAGGGTCCTCAAAAATGGTAGTTGGAAAAAAGTGGTAGTTGGTTTTTTTCGTTTCTTTGTATCTTTTGGGTCTGGAATTTGCCCCAAATGTGCCAGCTGGCATTTTCAGTCCCATACAGTTTCTCTGTATTTTGTTGCTCGAGGACAGGTGTGTCCAGGTACAAGCACTGGAGCAGAGGGTCCCAGGTCCCAGCCAGTCTCAAAGGGAAGGAAGGAGTCAGGGTGTTGAGCGGGGGATACCTGCAGACAGGAAAGCAGCGAGGTACTGAGGATGAGAGCTTTTGTTTGGGTTCATAGCTAAACTGATTTACCACTGAGGTGGGAATCATACTCTATCCAGGTATGTTCACCGGGGGTGAAAGATTCAAGTTCTGAAATACAGCTTCCACTTAGACAAGGCTTCCTCTCTTTAACCTGTCTCCCACATAGAGCACCATCAGCAAGGAAACACTCTGCTAGAAAGACTAAATGAAGTTAAGGGGTGTGTGTGTGTGTGTGTGTGTGTGTGTGTGTGTGTGTGAGATCAAGAACAGACTGGGGACTTGAGGTCACAGGAATATGTAGCATTTCCATCACACTGGAGTGACTAAAGTTAATGTTCTACTCCATCTTCAACTGTGGTGCTGGAGAAGACTCTTGAGAGTCCATTGGACAACAAGGAGATCAAACCAGTCAGTCCTAAAGGAAATCAACCTTGAATATTTATTGGAAGAACTGATGCTGAAGCTTAACAAAGACTTCCCAAGACACCACTGACTCTGGTTCCCTGGGGCACTGAGGTCAGTTGTCATCTAGCATTGAAATCAGAGCTGTCTCTCTTAAGCCTTGTTGTCTTGTCCAAAATGCATGGTTTAATACTTTCAACTGTGAATACCTGCATTTTTCCAGGTGCCATACTGTACATATTTTGGGGGAAGAAAATCTCTATTTTCTTCCATGGGGTTTTGAGGTGTGAATCCAATTCATTCTTATGCACGTTCTCAGACAGGATCAGGGTCTGAAGCTGTCAGCATCTGCCCGTGAGCTGCTGCTATAAATAAGGAAGCCCCTTCTCTACATTTGCGCCTCCATTCCTTCCCGGCAAATAGGTTCATCAATACTGTTTTTCTAGATTCCATATATATGCATTAATATACAATGTTTGTTTTTCTTTCTCTGACTTACTTTACTCTGTATAACAGGTTCTAGGTTCATCCACCTCACTAGAACTGACTCAAATTCATTCTTTTTATGGCTGAGTAATATCCCATTGTATTTATGTATCACACCTTCTTTATCCATTCATCTAGAGAACAGACGTGTGGACACAATCGGGGAAGGAAAGAGTGGGACAGAGGGAGAAAGTAGCATCAACATATATACACTATTATGTATAAAACAGATAGATGGTTAGAAGTTGCTATATAGCACAGGGAGCCCCGCTTGGCACTCCAGGATGACCTAGAGGAGTGGGATGAGGGGAGGGGAAAGAGGTTCAAGAGGGAGGTGATATATGGATAATTATGGCTGATTTGCATTGTTGTATGGCAGAAACCAACACAACATTGTAAAGCAATTTTTCTCCAATTAAAAAATAAATCTAAAAAATTTAAACCCCCAAATAAAAAATAAATAAAATATTAATATTAACAACAACAACAAAAATAAGGTGATCTATCCATTCTATGCAGAAATACTGGGTTTCTTCGAACAGTCTGTAAAAGTTCTAAGTAATCAACGCTAAAATTAAAAGAGTGGAACATAAAAAAAAAGAACTCCTTTGCAATCATTACCTGTCGGACTGCTGTCATGTCTTCATTGTCAGCAAACTCTTGGCAGTAGCAAATCAACCACTGGGTTAATGAGAACTCAGACACGCAGGCTCTGCTCAGCTCGTGGAATAAACACTGTTTTCCTCTGACCTAATTACATGATGCTTTAAACATCATAATTTTGTAAAAGAAACCGAGACTACAAATTGCATCATGAACCACACTGTGGGGACTCGAAACTGTGCCTGCAATTTGGAGAGAGTGTTTGCAGCAATCCGTAGGACACG